AATACTAAGAGATAAAAAGAAACCACAAGTAAATAAAATAATTTTTTTTACTAGAACCACATTGTCACTTCCAAAATTAGTGTTGGCTTGACACTGCTTTCCAAACCATGGCATATGCAGCCAACAACAACATGTAAGTTCCGTTTCACCACCAGTGTGAATGTGAATAAACAAGATCACACCATTACAATCAGCAGGAATCAGCAGGGATTACCAGTGCTACTGTCACTTACCTTAATCAAGAGAGGCCTTCGTTGTGGAGCGTCTGCCAAGTAACCAATTATATTACGAAGAATTAACTCCTGTGAACAATTTAAATATTCATTATGCAAATATGTTTTATAATATAATGCAAATTTTCTACTCATAACTGACAAAACTCATTGTAGGAACAATATTATTACTGATATTATAAATGATGGATCTAGGTCAGTTTCAAGAATTTTTAAAAAGTTTCATTTCAAAATTGTTATGAAAAGTTCTCATTAAACTCACCTTTTCATAGTGGCAAAGTAATAGACACTTGTGCGTTAAAATATACGAAAGCTTTTGATTGCTGAGGACGCTGTCACCAAGGAGCTTAGAAACCATTCCAAACCTGTTTATTATAAAATAACAATAATAAGTTTTTAAAGGTACATACATGACTTATTTACTAAAGTAATGTTTGTTTTTGTTTCATGTACTCAATTGCTATACCTTCAGTGAAAATGTGAATGAATTGGAGTATCTACATGTGTGTCGTGTTTGCTATATGAGAAACAAAAATTACATTTCTTGGAACCCAGTTATTATTAAAATATGATTTCTTTTGATGATGCGTTTCTATGGTTTCTCTAATAAGTCCATGTGCTACTTTTTTTTTTTTTTTTTTTTAAATATTTTTTTGTGCCAGACGACAGTTCCGGACATTTAGTGTCACTGTTGTCTCTCCTGACTTGTATGTGCAAATTGCAAGAGTGAGTGACGACACAGAGTGCATTTTGCCAAAGAAGTCATATTCATGTTTGGGACTACATGACAGGGCTGTGTGGCCATCTCTCTGTCAAATGGCAATTTGTAATGCGCTATCCTGGCGTCAACCAGGCCCGGTCGAACACAAGCACCTGCGGACCTTAACCAAGGTTCCGCCAAAGTCGCATTCGTTAGTGAATGAATCTCGGCCAGTGGAAATGACCTTCCCATTGAGTCTGTGGCACACTCACCCAGGGTAGGGGTCGACCTTTTTGACGTTCAGCCTATGGTAGGATTTGAACTTGGGTCTACCGATCATGAGTCTGATGCAACAACCACTATGCTACCAGTGACCGATTCTACTTATGTGCTACTTATGAAGCAAGCAGATATGGTAGTCTATTTATTTTTTTATTCAAAGCTCACTAGATCCATAAGGATATATAGATGTATAACTTTCACGAGTATGCAAACATTTAGCGTAGTACAGGTGAGCCTGTAGCATTAGTGACCTGAAGACCCAAGCCACAATTGACTGTAGTATTCAGTACTCTTCTCAGTTCTTTCTCTATAACCATGGCCACTAATTTGCATAATATGGTTGACAGTTCGTAACAACGCTCAACGTGATCGAGTCTGTCAGCTATTGAATTTTCTATTGTGAACTCCCTAGGCTGATGGGAACTGGGTCTCATAACAAAGCACCGGAAGGACGCGTGTTGAATCGGTAATGATCGGATTCGCTGGTGAATCAAGTGGTTACGGACTGTTTTCTCACTATCCGCGCATTTTCACAAGCACAAATACCTCTCAATAGACTGTATATAGTGAGTTCTAACAACATTACGAAGGCTGAATGCCACTTTAAAGGCCCATGTCATGTGACTCTAAAAATATTCTTTGTTTATTGGTGCATCTTCTGGTTTGTGTATTCTGACAAACCTTAACTCATTTATTAAACACAATTTATTATCATAATTATGTTAACAATCATTGTGTAACATTCACAACAGACACAATGTATGTAAAAGCTAACAAAACTTGATTTGACCTGAGCTTGTCTGGAGTTTTTACTATATGTATAGCTAGTAATTAAAACCTATTGTTTAGGATCTCTTATGATTTTTTGGTCTTTGAATGCCATAATTTTCCCGGCAAAATTTCGATGCAATATGTATATTTTTTTTTTCGCAAATCTTGATCAAAAATTAAAAAAAACAAGCCATGCATGGCACAGTCCCAGTTAGTTATCAAATTTAAGATATATAGTTTTGTTTATTGTAATATAGTTGGAACATAAACATGTTAGAAGTATGGGACCAGAAGATGATGCTTGATTATGATGATTTTTTTAACATTAAAATGATTGACATCTTGTATCTGGTCGTCAAACGAGTAATTGTCCATATTGAGAAATATTGCTTTGCAACAGCATTAATTAAAACAAAATGGCCACCAGTCGGCCATTTTGAATATAACTATATATCTATGACATGATATATAACGAAAATGTAAAATTTGAACATAATCAGTCAAAGCATATCACAGATATGGCTCTAGAAGCCCATTCATTTAAACAAAATGTCAGCCAGCCATTTTGAATCCGATCTGAAGAATGAAATGACGTTCATCAGGAACCCAAAATCTCTAATGTATGTACCAAGTTTGAACAAAATCTATCTATAAACGCCAAGATCCAGTTCTGGAATGCCAGAAATGCTTGATTTTTGATGATTTTTTAGCACAAAAATGGGTGCCATTTGGCCATTTTGAATCAGATAGTCAAACCAATATATCTATGTCATGATGTAAAATGAATATATAAAATTTGAACATAATCAGTCAAAGCATGGCAGAGATATGGCACTAGAACTGCATTCATTAAAACAAAATGGCCGCCAGTCGGCCATTTTAAATCGGATTTGAAAAATAAAATGACATGCATCAAGGTCGCATAATCCATCCATAAATGCTTGATTTTGATGATTTTTTAGCACAAAAATGGCCACCATTCGGCCATCTTGAATCAGATCATGAAACAAATTGATGTGCATATGTATACTATCATGTATGATGTATGTGTGAAGTTTGATTGTGATTGGTCCAGGCATTTCTAAGATACATAAGTCCCCGTTTTCGGACTGCGTCCAATCAGGGACTTAAAAAAATGGTAAAAAATTAGGTGGCATTATTTTGTGAAAAAAGATTATGTCACTCAAAAGGTTAAAGGTTCCTGGTATCCGATTTTGAAATAGATGTATAGCCATACGTACCACGGCGTGTGTTGCAATACGTATTCTATAACCGGCTCTAGACATCTTTCTGGAACACCGGTGATGACAGTACAACAAATTCTGCACCAAATAAAATCATTCTCAGTCAGCTGTATAAATGTAGGTAACAACGAACTAAGATATAAATCTGCAAAATGAAAGTATTTAAAAATGTTAAACATGCATTGTGATATGGGTTATGTAAAACGCTATAAAATTACAGTATACAACTGAGGACAGAATAGTGTGTGAATTGCATGTACGCAGCAAACTTGGAGTAACATGCAATACTCATCGATATTGTTTTTGCATTTTGTTATTTACGAATATATTACAATGTCTCATTTCAGTAGTAGTGCATTCTAATTTCATAGGTGACAACCACAGTTGACACAGACACAAAAAATAATGCAGCTCTTTTGGTGCATATGCATAACATGCATTCCTACACTTAGCTATATTAGCTAGCTACCTGTCAGCCTGTCGGGGAATTTGACGGGGGGAACATTTTAGTAGTCTTCCATTGTTTTTTGGCAATATTGTCAAATACAACAGACAATGCATAGCATTATTGATTGTACAATACATATTGAGTAAATTGCTACAACATACCTGTGTATCCATGTACGCAGACTTTACCAAGTAACTTACTCACAAACGATACAACACAATCTCTGGAGGCTTGAAAAAAAAAAGCAAAAAAAATTATTTTTCAATTTTTTGAGATGTATGTATAAATCACAATATCAGAGTGTAAAAATGTGAAAATAAATAACAACAAATGAAGTTCAAAATGCAGTTTAACGAAAATATCTCTGCAAAGAACCCTGGGTAACTAAATGACTATTAATTAATACTGCGTTTGATTTTCGCCGATTAGTGAAATTAAATAACTTAAATCCACTAACTAGGACATGTAAGACTACAATAGAACTGATCAATAAGTTAATTTCGTCTAGTGAATATTGCTCAAAATTTTGAATTAATAGTCAAATAGTATAATTTAATCTAAACTTAAAGAAGAACATGTTTTTTAAAATTTGTTATTACCTTTAATTTCTTTATAAATATTATAAAGTACAAGCAGCGTGTCCTTAGCTAATATCTTGAAATAAACTTGTGGGTAGAATACGTCACTAAGAAACAGAAGAAAAGAGTAATTGTCAATGACACCAGCAGACTTTTTCATCCAAATTATTCTTGCCTATTTTTTTTTTATATTCTTCAATATTTCTGGAAATGAACCCTAATTTTGGAAGCAAACAGACAAAATATGAGTCAATTTGCAGTTATTGGCTATTTTCGTCCGAATCTGCTGAAGGATGTGATGAAAAGAGAGGATTGGTGGTGAAAAGGTTAAACCAAATACATCATAGAGTCTGCAATTTGCAATTCGGCAAAAATATGACTCAGTAACTCATCAGGTGTGTGATATTTGTAGCAGGATTCAAGCAAGTGTTTGTTGAAATTCTGTGATTCTCAATTATGAAAATGGCAAGTAGTGGGTTAATACAAATTAACAAGCTCATTATTTCTTTTAATTCATTCTTTCTTTTAAAATATGTCAAAAAGTATAAAAATTTGAAAAATGTTGGCCATTTTGAATAAAATCACTAAACAAAGTGGCATGCGTCAATACACCACAATATGCTTATAAAATATAAAATTGGCACACGCAAGTCTGTGAAATGGTTTGCGACAAGCTTACATTTTTTGGAAGGGGATAAAATGTGAAATTTCCTGGAAATTCACAACAACAAAATAAAATGTAATATGCGGGATGAGGGAACTTAATAAATTTAAAACTAGGAAATTATCTTTAAAAGAATTTCATTACCTGTTGTGTGTCTGTAATTTGTTAGCCATCCTATTGGATAGAGTTGATAGCAATGTGATTAGTCGATCCCATAACATACTCTGTGTTGTCTTGGTTACAGTCTGTTCACCTGGTACTACCCTACACTGGGTCCAGATAAGGTCTTTAATCCGGTGAAGTTTGATGAAATCTTCCAATAACAGAACCGATTTGTTCAGTTGGTAGCTTGAATTGAAAAAAATAAGATGAACTTAAATTGGTCGGCAGCAGACATGGAAAGTATTTTAAAGCTACCACAATTGAGTTTGGACACCTTTACAGAATTTGATTTTAGACAAAATGGTCGTCGATTCGGCAAATTTGATCAAATCATAAAATTAACACACCCTATAGTATTACCTACGAGTATAGTACTTATGTGCAAATTTTCAGCTGAATCAGGTGATATATTACAATGAAGAATCGACATAGAAATGAATAACCACCGAATATACATAATCCTCAAAGTTTGAATGAAATCACCCTGTTCATTTCATCATACAAAATGTACATGTGATCAGACAAATCATGCCCAAGAAAACCAAATAACAGACGGAAACCAAATTAATGAATATTTATCAATATTCATAATGACTCCATCTTTCTGCCGTTCACTTTAAACTGTCTCAAGTTATGATTTTTGTTTTCCATTTTGATATGATTAATAAAATTAATGGAAATAGAATTAGACCGACAAACATAAAACAATATACATGTTTAAGATTTGACATTTTCTTTCATTGACAGACAAATGGACAAATAGATATTCATATATCAACATCAGATATTGTCGATATCTGCAAAATAAAATATACCTGGAATATACCGGTAAATATGTTCATCATCCACCAATATTCGTACATGTGATATTTGTTGATTATGAGTACTGTAAAATGACTAATTTTCACTGCGTTTAAATTTCACTGATTTACCATTTCAGGCATAATCAGTGGGTTTTAAATTCACGGTTTCGTCATTTAGATAATGTGTTCTATGCTAAATTTTACATATTCACTGTGTTTTAATTTAGCGCATTTTTCCAGTCAGCGAAATAAGCTAAATTAAAACCCAGTGAATAATTAACCCCTTTACAGTATATACTACAAGGTATGTCTATAATGATGAATACTCACGTTGTATTCTGTACAGCACTGCATAATATCATCAATGAAGCATGGTCTACACCTTCCAGGAAAAATACATCAAACGACTGCCTTCTGTCCTGCTTACTTAGTTTACCAAACCAATCCAGACTAAGTGTTTGAAGTAAAAACTCACAGAATCGCACATAATGCTGGCTGCAGAATTCCTCTTTAGCTTTTAGAATTCTGTCGATATTAAAGTCCTGTGAGTTGCTGTCAGTTTTTCCTGGAAGTAAGCATTTTACTCTGTCCAGTGTCTTGATGATGGTACTCGGATCGCTAGTAGTGGATAACAGGTTCTGAGCTTCTCGAACAATTTGCCGGACTTCGCATTTCAGTTCAAGTTCACTCATTGCTTAAATAGAAAAAAAATACACTTATTTTATTATTTGCATTGTTATCTAGAGTGAAAATATTTGAAAGATACATGGACACCATGACACTTCCAACACCTTCAGAAGGGTGCCAATATTAGGCAAGTTGATATGCCGCCCTCTACTGGTCAAATAACAAAATGCTACGGTACACAAACAAACTTTTGCTAATTGTGGATTTTTTATTTATGTCATTTTTATTATACATGTATTAGGAAAGACTTTCAAATGTAAACCTACCTCTAATCCTAACTCTAACCCGAGCCCTACTCTCTAATGTGTTGTATATGCCCCTCCTATAATTAATTAGGGGGGCATATGCAAGGGGCTCGAGTGTTAGAGAGTTAGGGTAAGGGATAATTTGGAAAGTCATTCATTGTACTATTATTTTGATTGGTGTCTGAGGCGTGGGATTCGCTTATCTCGTACTGGTGAACAGTGGTGGAGCCCCCTGAAGAGGATAACAACCTACAGTCAGATAAATAAAAGACAGGCAAGTTCAAGTAATTATTGTCATTTGCAGGATACGGAACCGCAGCAGACAAAATATATGCATCATCACGCAGATCCAATCCAAATTAACTGTGACTGTGCCAAGACCGGCAATAAAATGCGACACCTGAATCCATCGGAGTGCGGGGAGTCCGTACCGAGGCCCGAGGGTCTTACCGGGGTCTGTAGGTCCACGCAAGGCCATATTTACTTACTTGTCGATAACTGGCCGGTATGAGATTGCAACTTCCAACCCTTTCAACACATGAAACTGAAGATCATGGAAGACTCAACCTCACGTTATCATGGGCGCAGCCATCTTTATTTACAAATATGCGCATGCGCAATACTTGTTTTCAGCTACAATGCTACTCCTTAGTGAAAATGTTATTTTACTTAATTTTTACAGATATGACATTTCATGTAACAAGCATGAAGAAAATTGAACAAAAATATAGAATACATAGAGTGAATTTAGCATGTTCTGTTTTTTTAGGGCATTTTACCACTGTTTCCTATATCTCTTCGTTGGTGTCAAAAAATGTACTTGTTTGTATATCGATCTAAAAGTCGATAATTATCCAATAATAATAATAGTTTTTATTTCGAGAACCAGCTAATAACAAAAAGTTGAAAATTACTAAAAACACAACAGCAAAGCAGAAATTAGAAATATGGTGCCTTATAAATATCAGAAAAGACCCTTTTCCAGTAGTTGCTTGTCCCTCAACATGTCAGTAGACATGGCTGCCACAATTAAACAATTCTCACTAGCAGTCAGTCTTGTGTAAAAGCCAGCCTTGGACTTGCACAGAACACTTAAAAAAGTGGGAACACCATTTAAAATCTGAGTTTCAGAAATACTCAAGTTGCGACTGACATGAAATATAACGCGAAAAGCGTTGTTATAAGCGACCCGCACAGCATTCAGATTAGCTTTGGAAAATACAGCCCATAAATGCAAACAATACATCGTTGTACAGAAAGTTTTAACTGGAACAGAACACTTATTAAAATTACGTACCAAATAGTTGGCTCTTGCATAAAAAGACTTCATTTAACGCGTTATGTCACAACTATCATTGGTTAATGTGTTAACAATAATTACTAGGTATAAATAATTACTAACGAAATCCAGCTTAGTACCATGTAGATAAACATTAGGAATACATGTAATACTACTACGAGGAGGCAGTATATACATACACTTCGTTTTATCAGTATCGAATTTGATGTTATGAGTGTTGGCAAAATAACTACACGTAGTCAGCAAACGATTCAAGCACTTCACAGACGGGCATATTAAAAATATCGTCTGCATACATTAAATGATTAAGACATTTTCCAGATAAATGACAACCAATACCCGTATTGCCGAGTTCGTTGCTGAGTCCATCTATGTAAACAGTAAACAGGCGTGGTGATAGAATACCGCCTTGCCTAACACCATTTAAAGTATGAAAACTTTTAGAGAAAGTAGATCCCCATCGTACTTTAAACTGTTGATTACGATACCAATACATAATAATTCTCACAATAAAAATTGGAACGCCTCTGTGCAATAACTTGCGAAACAAACACCAGTGGTTAACACGGTCGAAAGTTTTTGAAGCGTCTAAAAACATAAAAATACAGGACTATCATTACGTTTATAAAAATCGATCGTTTCTTTGGATAAAAAAAAACACATATCAGTGGAATGACCTTTTTTATAATGAGAGATTTCGCGATCAGATGTAAATCTTCACTAGGGCTCAAGTCCCATCCTGCTAATATCGATCGAATATTGATCACGATCTCAGACCTGATCGTAATTACCGGTATTACCCATAGTCACGACCCGAGGGGGCAATACATGGAATCGGCCTAATGGGGACGTGCCCCTAAAATGTGTCTCATTTTTTGGATTTTAGGTATAAATATCGGTCTTATTTTTACGATTTGGTATACTTATGGGTCCGTATACGAGCGAATATCTCCATCTCAGATCCCAGCCTCAGATCCATAGGTAACTGTTATATTTGGAATAAACAGTGATGACAGAAATGGTATTTTTGGTATAAATATGGGTATAGATTTTACCACTATCCATGTATGGCCACACTTTTGAGCACTCAGGGGCACCTCCCTACCCAGCTATGTATCAATTGCCCCCTGGGTCACGATGTCTAAGATTATTTTATCTGACATATAGCATCTAATATTGGACTAAAATCGATAATTATCGATTTATAATATCCCGCCTTCAAGATCTGCCCAATGTAATAATACACGTCATAGAGCACCGTGACGTCAGATGTCGAAATTGAACTATATTTGTTTCACCAAAACACTTTATGTATTATAGTATATCTAGGTTAATGTATGTAAACACTTGGCATTAAATATTTCAATTTACCCGGAAGGCATGTGTTATTGAATGTACCGTAGACAAATACAAAAACCACGCATGCTGCCATCCAGTCACTAAATTTCCAACTTTACCGTAACTGTACAACCCACACTCCATATTAACGGCATAGTTTGCACTTACTTCCATATAAGAATATGAATTACTTTTTTTATATTTTTCATTGGCAATCAAATACTAAAAACATGTATTGTAGCGGTAAACCTGAACACAATGAATCAACGATGATGAAATATTGATTTTTAATGTTGTTTCAAAAGCACGCCCTCTGGGGGAATGCCTTGGCATAAAACTGTGTTTACCTAACTAATAAAGGCTTCGGGAACAGCATAATTTCAATCATTGCGTTTCAAAATTACAACGCGTTCGACGCTACCTGAAAGGAATATCGCGCATTGGCGGGCACAGCTCGTTTAGTCCACTCAACCGCCGACTGGACAGTCGTCGCTCTTTCTGCAAGATGTGATTAATATAGAATACGAGAACAACGTGCTGGTCATGGAGTTCCCAGTCAATTTAAAAAACTGTAATTGGAAGTTGATATTTTTACGTTTTATAACGTTATATTTACTGACAGTCACCTCGATTTATGTCGTCACAGGTAGGTTATAATGTAATTTATCAAATTATGTGACAGTTTTTTTAACCACCGTTAGTTTAGTTTGGTTTTAATTTTGTGGTTTTATAAGATAATTTGACATGTCCCTCCGGAGACGCTATTCACTATTCACTTTTTTTTTATTATTTATTTATTTATTTATTTATAAATTATTTTTTGAAGAATATCATGTAACCTGGATACACATTTTCAAACTGGCATGAATTCAAAAATCACAGCGCCTCTGTGTAGTCATAATTGCTGGATCCGCCGACCCCAAACCACTAATATTAACTTTCTATTAGTATATCATTGACTATTTTCCGTACTACAATGTACATTTCACTTGTATTATTCGATAGTTAATTACAATTAGGCAATTAGGTCCATTCTCCGTTCAGGGAGAATGCAGACACGGTCCCTGCATGGTCTATATAGAGATTTCGAGATAGATATAAGAGTGCTTGTAATCCAAATAATCCACGAACATTCACGCTCAAGTGTTCAATTGCTTCAAGATTACATCCCTAAAATGACGTACAATTTTGCCGTAAAGCAAGCATGGCACTATGCACACGTTCCTTCTATTCCGGTACACGCATCGGTTGCCCTACATCCTAAGGACAGGCTCCGTGTTACTGGCTTCCTACGTTATTTTACTAGTATGTTATAGTGTCGCAAATGCGGCAACTTATATAATGTAGAGGGTGGTATTGACCATCCATAACACGGGAACTGCCCCTTCCCTAAAACACACAATGCAGTACGCCTAATGCATCACGAGGTGCAGTACTCTGTAACATAAAATAACCGAATTATCCAATAATGGACCAGTTTTCATTGCAACTAAGTAAACTTAGAACATAGTGTGAAGTGAGTGGTTTGGGTAATAATGTTGACATTACGTTGAGTGGAAAGCACTTATTTTTTAGCGGTTTTATACCAGCGATGGTAAATAAACGAAATATGCACCAATAATGGTACATATTACCTCATCTGTATGTGTATATACGGTAGTATAAAAGCATGATGACGGAACATTGGGTGGGGGTCAAAAACAATTACGTAGACGGACAACACAACCAAGATTATAACGAATTATCGCAAATTAACATAATCTGTTATGCGCCTTATACAACATTTGTCATACGAATAGGTACAATTACTCTATAAGGCAATTATTGTGGATCGATTACAAAAACGACCACATTATCGTTCGTTTCTTGATTTACAATACTCTCCGTTCAATAAAATAAAATTGATATGCATATTTATGTTCTGCTTTAATTCAATGACAGTATATATGAAAGAAGAAAATAACGATTTTGAGTTTTAAAGTTGTGTAGTCCCAAACTACTTGGCAGTCTCAAACGCCCCGCGCAACCCACTGAAAAATTAAGGTTCGCACAAAATAGGTCAATTATTAGCCTTGGAGTTCAGTAACATTGGAATAGCAATCTGAATAAACACTCTCAGTTTTAGATTTGAAATAAATCAAATTCCGAGTATGTAATTTCGATTAAATAGCTAAAAAATATTCACAAACCAAATTAGGCCTTGAACTTGTTAAGTACTGTATTCCAGAACTAAGAACTAAGAAGCGAAAATGAACACCTGTCAACATTACAATGTTAAACGGATATTACAACTGAATGTTGTCGTTAAATATGCATAAAGGTCAGAGTTCGTACATAGTTAAAATCTCCAGCAACACGTTATTTCTTTTTGTAACCGGAATTAATATGTATTACCACTCGTGCAATCAATCATTTTTGGCATTTTCTTTCCAAAGAATTCTGTGTCGTCATGACAACAGCAGAACCGCAATGAGTAGTATCTCCTTGTCGAATTACAATATTTGTTTAACGGGTGTTATCTGCCTCTTAATGCATTTACCTGGTACCGATAAGTTTCGACGTAACATGAATCCCTTCTCAAAGAGCATCCATTACGTGCCGTCCGTTACACGACCACACGCAAAGCAAGTTCTTGAGTACAATGACTTGTACGTTATACATATGTGAATGCAGAGCAGTTATATACGAGCCACGGCATTCCGAAAAAGAGGCACCACCATCATGGACAGGGCTGAAAAGTGGCGCAATTCACCAATTTATTTCTATAAATATGATTAAATAACTGAAAGATTGAGTCTGACGTTTCAAAGAATTGAACATTTTACGTATATATTACAATC